CCCGCCCGCCAGCGGCCTCCGGACCCCCAGCCGCCCGCCGCCCGCCCGGCGAGTGTCCCGGCCCGGCTCCCGCGGCCGCCGACACCACAAACAACGGCGCGGGGCGGGGCCGCTGTCCCAACGTTCGGGGGCCGCGAGCCGCCGCCGCTGATTGGCCCGCGCCGCTCGGCCTGCGCCCGGCTCCGGTGCGGACGTTCGATTCGAATCCTGCGGCCTGCAGCCCGCACTGTTTCTCTTTTCGCCCGGCCGCGCCCATTGGCGGAGCTCGGCGCCGTGGAGCCGCCCGGCATTGGTCGGCCGCTCTGTTTTGGCTCTTCCGGGCTCCTGGTTGGCCGCGGCCGGGAGTTTGGGGCGGAGCCGCGCTCGTTGATTGGCCTCCCGTGGGCCTGTTTGAACTCAACTTGAAAACCTTGAGTGTCTGCTGATTGGCCGAGGGCCCTGTGTTTGCTGTTGTAGGCTTGGGGGTGGTGCGGCCAAGTTCATTCATTACTTCATTGAAACTGTACATGCTCAGCTGGAAAAGCAAGACAGAGTGGCTTTGACTCATTTCCTCTGAAAGATGTGGTCATCTCGAGAAACAGAATGATCAAAATAGAAAACAGAGGCTTTGCAGCTGCTCAAGTCTCAAAGTTGTTTATTTTTTTAAAACTTTCTAACAGCTCTCCTTTTTTTTAGCCTTTTATTGAAATATAAGGTACCTGCTTTCTGCCTTTGGATCATTACCCTCCCCAAAGGCCAAACAAACTTTTCCTAGTTTTTAGACCAAAAACTTTTGCTCTCTAAAGATATAAACCGATGTTAACATACACTAAGTATAATTGCAAGGGGGGAAAAATGAGACTTTCTCAGTCACTAATAGCCCAAGCTGCGAATTTTTTTTTCCTTAAATCAGTTGGCCTAGCTGAAGCTAAATTTCTACCGTCTTTTTGAATACAGTGTTCCTATATGGCTACTGGCTCTCAACCCTAGCCATTTAAAAACCAGATTTGTTTATATGTGCTGAGCTATCATCTTCTGGATAAAAATTTGGCTTTTAGGGGCACCTGGTTGGCTCAGTAGGAAGAGCGAGCCACTCTTGATCTCGGGGTTGTGAGTTCAAGCCCCAGGTTGGGTGTAGAGATAACTTAAAAATAATATCT